CACTGGCTCATATCGAGAGGTAGCCATTCTCAGATCAGGGGAGACCCTCACGCAGGCCGGAGTGCTGCAGGGGTGGCCCGTTATCAGGGCCCCAGAGCCGGTTCCTGCAGCCCCATACACCCAAGCTCGGTCCCGGGCAGCTGGAAGCAGAAGGCCCAACCACAGACACAGGCTGCAGGCTAGAGAGGTCCCCTCACCCCCACCCTCACCACATGACCAGATGCCAAAAAGGCGTGCGGAAACTGGGCCATCATCTAGGTTTCTAACTCCAATCATTTTATTATATTGTGGTCACACTTATAACAAATACATTTTAATAAATCAAAACCACACCACTGGAACCTGAATAGTATGTATCAATGAGAAAAACAGTGGAAATAACACTTTATAGGGTGGGGGGAAAGACATCTACATCAGATTTCAGGATGGTTACAAGTTATCAAGAAAATATAACAGAAAAATAAACTTCAGGCCAGGCGCGGTGGCTCACGCCTGTAATCCCAGCACTTTGGGAGGCAGAGGTGAGAAGATTGAGACTATCCTGACCAACATGGTGAGACCCCATATCTACTAAAAATACAAAAATTAGCCAGGTGTGGTGGCACACACCTGTAATCCCAGCTACTCAGGAGGCTAAGGCAGGAGAATCACCTGAACCCGGGAGGCGGGGGTTGCAGAGAGCCAAGATTGTGCCACTGCACTCCAGCCTGGAGACAGAGCAAGACTCCCTCTCAAAAAAAAAAAAAAAGAAAAAAAAAGAAAATAATCGAGTTTATAAGAGAGGTACAGGTCACACATAAATTTAAGAACTGGGGGCAGAGAGATGGCATTTAAAGCTATGAGAATGGTGGAAATCGCCGGGCGCGGTGGCTCACACCTGTAATCCCAGCACTTTGGGAGGCCAAGGCGATGGATCACCAGGTCAAGAGATCGAGACCATCCTGGTCAACATGGTGAAACCCCGTCTCTACTAAAAATACAAAAAATTAGCTGGGCATGGTGGCATGTGCCTGTAATCCCAGCTACTCAGGAGGCTGAGAGGCAGGAGAACTGCCTGATCCCAGGAGGCACAGGTTGTGGTGAGCCGAGATCGCGCCATTACACTCCAGTCTGGGTAACAAGAGCGAAACTCCGTCTCAAAAAAAAAAAAGAAAAGAAAAAGAGAATGGTGGAAATTACCAGGAGAGTGAGGATAAAGAGTGCCAAGGACTAAGCCGGGGTTTTAGCAACGTTAAGAAAATGTAAGAACTTGCAGAGGAAACTATGAATACTGATGAGACCGGAAGAAAATCAAGTGAGCATAGTGTTTTGGAAAATGAGAGAAAAGTTTATCAAGGAGGGAGTAACCAACTCTGTTAAATGCTGCTGATAGGACAAGTAAGATTAGAACAGTAACCTGCTATTGGATATAACCTCACAAAGATGATTAGCGACCAGGCGCAGTGGCTCATGCCTGTAATCCCAGCGTTTTGGGAGGCCCAGGTGGGTGGGTCACCTGTGGTCAGGAGTTTGAGAGCAGCCTGACCAACATGGAGAAATCCCATCTCTACTAAAAATACAAAAAATCAGCCAAGCGTGGTGGGGCATGCCTGCAATTGCAGCTGCTCAAGAGGCTGAGGCAGGAGAATTGCTTGAACCCAGGAGACAGAGGTTGTAATGAGCTGAGATCGCGCCATTGCATTCCATCCAGCCTGGGCAACAAGAGCAAAAGTCCATCTCAAACAAACAAACAAAAAAAGATTATTGGTAACCATGACCAGTTTTCGCGAAATAATATGAGAGAAAGCCCAAAAGAAGGAGGTTTAAGAGAGAAAGGGAGAAGAGTAATTAAAGAACCAAGTCAGTTGTTTCAAGGAGTTATTCAGAGAAGAATGAAGATAAGCAACAGTGGTGGCAGGAAAAGTGGAATAGAGAAGATGATTATTTTTTAAAAAACGTTTTTAAAGATACATAGTATTCGTACATATTTAACGTGGTATTTTGTTAGCTGCACAGAATGTGTAATGATCAAGTGAGGGTATTTAGGGTGTCCATCACCTTAAGTATTTATCATTTCTATGAGTTGGGAACATTTTAGTCTTCTATTTTGAAATAGACAATACACTGTTAACTATAGTCACCCTACTCTGCTATCGAACATTAGAACTTATTCCTTGTAACTATGTTTGCACTCATTAACCCACCTTTCTTTATGAGCCCTCTCCCACCTACACACCCTTAAGTCTCTGGTGTCTATCATTCAGGAGGTCAAGGTTTTTAACTACCACATGAGAACATTCAGTATTTGTCTTTCTGTGCCTAGTTTATTTTCAATTCCATTCATGTTGCTACAATGACAGGTTTTCATTCCTTTTTTACGGCTGAATAATATTCCATTGTGTACACATACCACATTGTCTTTATCCATTCATCTGCTGATAAATACTTAGGTTTATTCCATATCTTAGGTAGTATGAATATTGTTGCTATAAACATGGGAGTACAGGTATTCCTTTAACATACTGATTTCCTTTCCTTTGGTTAAACACCCGGTAGTGGGACTGCTGAACTGTTCAGTAGTTCTAATTTAAGTTTTTTAAGAAATCGTCCTACTGTTTTCCATAGTGGCTGTAATTTACATTCCCACCAACATTGTATAAGTTTCCTTTTCTCCTCATCCTCACCAGCATCTGTTGTCTTTTTAATAGTGGCCATTCAAACTGGGATGAGATTGTATTTCTTTGTGTTTTTTATCTGCATTTTCCTGATGATGAGTGATGCTGAGCATTTTTTAATACACCTGTTGGCCATTTGTATATCTTCCTTTAAGAAATGTCTATTCATGTTCTTTGCCCACTTTTTAATTTTTTTTTAACTGTTGAGTGGTTTGAATACCTTGTATATTTATATTAGCCCCTTGTCAGATGGGTAGTTTGCAAATATTTTCTCCCACTCAACAGGCTGTCTCTTTGTTGACTATCTCCTTTGTTGTGCAGAAGCTTTTCTTTCTTTTCTTTTTTGAGACAAGGTCTAGCTAGCTCTGCTGCCCAGGCTGGAGTGCAGTGGCACGATCTCAGCTCACCGCAACCTCTACCTCCTGGGTTCGAGTGATTCTCCTGCCTCAGCCTCCTGAGTAGCTGGGATTACAGGGGTGTATCACCATGCCCAAATAATTTTTGTATTTTTAGTTTTTAGTAGAGATGGGGTTTCATCATGTTGGCCAGGCTGTCTTGAACTCCTGACCTCAAGTGATCCATCTACCTTGGCCTCCCAAAATGCTAGGATTATAGGTGTAAGCCACTGCGCCTGGCCCAGAAGCTTTTTAATTTCCTATCAGCTGTCTATTTTTTTGACTTTGCTTTTGAGATATTAACCATAAAACTGTTGCTTAGGCCAATGTCCTGAAGGGTTTCCCCTATGTCTTCTTCTTGAAGTTTTATAGTTTTAGTCTTACATTAAGTCTTTAATCCATCTCAAATTGATTTTTGTATGTGGTGCAAGATAGGAGTCCAGTTTCATTCTTCTGCATATGGATGTCCAGTTTTCCCAGTACCATTTATGAACAATGATGTCTTTTTCACCACAATGTATGTTCTTGGCACCTTTGCTGAAAATCAGTTGGCTGTAAATATGTGGATTTATTTCTAGGCTCTTTATTCTGTTCCATTGATCTATATCTGTTTTTATATCAATATCATGCTGTTTTGGTTACTATAACCTTGTAATATATTTTGAAGTCAGGTAGTATGATGCTTCCAGCTTTGTTCTTTATGCTCAAGATCATTTTGGCTATTTGGCTTTTTTGGTTCCATATAAATTTTATGATAACTTTTTCTATTTCTATGAAAAATGACATTGATATTTTGATAGAGATTGCACTGAATCTGCAGAATGTTTTGGGTAATATAGTGTTTTTAACAATATTAATTCTTCATGGGGATGAGATGTCTTTCCATTTGTTTGTCTCAAGAGGACTCAACTCTTCAAGGTTTCTTTAGGACATGGTTTTGTGTGCTGATGAAAGTCATCCAGTATAGAACATGACTTGAGAGAAAAGAATTGCTGCAGTGATGCCTCTGAGTAAGTTAGAGGGGATAAGGTCTAGTGGAGAAATCAGCTTTAGATAGAAGCAAAGATGACCAACTTATGGTAACAGGGGGAAGGCAGATGTGGTGATGCAGGTAGTAAGAGACAGACATAGATGAAGGTTGGAGTCTAAAGAAATTGTCTTACTGCCTTAGTTTCCTTGGTTGAAGAAAATTATATTTCAGGTAACACTAATAAACAAATACAAAAAGGAAAAACTACTGGTTTTCAAAATAATTTGTCTTATTTGACCTGCTCATATTAACCCATTTTACTTTCTTTTTTTTGAAGTCTCACTCTCGTCCCCCAGGCTGGAGTGCAATGGCACAATCTTGGCTCACTGCAACCTCTGCCTCCCAGGTTCAAGCAATTCTCCTGCCTCAACCTCCTGAGTAGCAGGGATTACAGGCACCTGCCACCATGCCCAGCTAATTTTTGTATTTTTAGTAGAGACGGGGTTTCACCATGTTGGCCAGGCTTGTCTCGAACTCCTGACCTCACGTGATCTGCCTGCATCGGCCTCCCAAAGTGCTGGGATTACAGGCATGGGCCATCCTGCCCAGATTTTAATCCACTTTACTTTCTTCTATTAATGATGCTCATCTGTTTTCACACATAACCAAGCTAGAAAAATGTATATATCTGTCAATAGTTTAACACATGATTGGCTCACAAATAAAACTATGTGACCAAAGGAAAGATTGATGAGTTAATCAGATTTATTTTTATGCCCTGGTAGAAGGTTCATTTACAGTAATGATAATTACTGTAATGATAAATCATTTACTTCAAGTTTTAGATTACAGTACACTATTATAGGTTTTTGTCTAAGAAGAGTAGTCCAAAATTTCACAAGTAAAGCTGAAATGTGCTTTTCACAACCGGGACTTAGACTTTGCTTACACTGAGAAACACAAGTTTTCAAGGGTACTTACCAACAGTGGTCACAGGAGGCTGGGAAGGGTATTGGGAACTTGTTGTGGCAGGATATGGACCACCAGGTGGGTAAGGACAGCCTGGGTAACCACTAAAGACGAGGACAAAAAACATTTAACATTTAAGATGACCCAACATTATAGTATTTTTAAGAATCCCATTCAGGAAGTTAAGCTTGGCATATGGTTGTTATACTGGTTGATGAATTTATAGTTTTAGAGCTGCAGGTGTTTATTAAAGTTCTATGGAAATTGTATTAATGACACTGGATTTACTCTTAGTTAAATGCTCTTGCTTTTTCCCAGTTATATGACAGTCAACTTCACAGCAACAGAAACTAAGGAGTATTTCTAAGGACAATCCAACAGCATCAGAAGCAACAAGTAATTTGTGAGAGCACTTTTCTGATTTCTCAAACTATATGAAATTTTACCTGTGGCTTTTTGCTAACCTTTGAGGATATTTAACCCGAAAATACTTGTCTTCGAGTAGTTTTTTTCCTCTTTTGATAACATTTGTACCAAACTCATCTTTAAATAGTTAAAAAAAAACTCTTTTCTCACTTTCTTGACACTTTCTGTCATTCATGTATTTATATCTAACTCAGAGGAACTTTCTTTAGAGGTTTCTACTCCAATTACCTTTTTAACAATCTCTTACCTATACGTATCATTTACAACATCCCTGGCAAATGGTCATCTTTCTTTAACATTAAATATCATTTCAATATAATTTCTAAATAGGAGTCCTATATTTGCATTTTGGAAGATCACTGAACTATCTGGAGACTCCTAAAACTCATATGTTTGAGAAACTCTAACATTTTTCCCTCAAGTTTCTTTTCTTTGGGTTACATATTCTTAATTCCTTTAACTATTTGTCTAAGGACATGATTTTCAGATCTAATTGCTTTCCTCTGAATGCTTACTAGTCAGTGTTTCCCTTACAATCATGAAGAAAATTAGAAAAGGATGATTACTGGCTACTGCTTAGTTGGACAATGAATCTCAATTAATCCTACTTTAGCTACAATTGTCAATTCTATGACATTTGCCTTTTACAAGCTCATTAAAACTGCTGATTAAAAAGAGTGAGCACAGGCTGGGCGCAGTGGCTCACACCCATAATCCTAGCACTTTGGGAGGCTGAGGCAGGAGGATCACTTGAGTCCAGGAGTTCAAGATAAGCCTAGGCAACATGGTGAAACCATCTCTAAAAAAATACAAAAATTAGCCAGGTGTGGCACGCACCTGTAGTCCCAGCTACTTGGGAGGCTGAGGTGAAAGGATCACCTGAGCCCAGGAAGTGAGCTGAGATTGCGCCACTACACTCCAGTCTGGGTGAGAGTGAAGCCTTGTCTCAAAAAAAAAAACAAAAAGGTAGCCTAAGCACTGGAGCAAGAGCTCCTTCTGAGTTTATGGTCAATAATCCTTTTTCAATGCAGTGGTTCAAAGATTCTCCTATTCGTATATCAGCTCCCACTTTATAACTTCTCCACAAAAAATGTTATATATGACTTGCTGAAGATTCAATGTAATCATGGTACTTATCTATCAGTATAAAATCAAAATTTTTTTTAAAAAGACATTCTTGTTCCTAGTAGACACATGCTAGAAGTTACCGAACACAGTACTTCTGTTTCCAGTCTCTTTGGTAATTCATGCTATAATGTTGTAAGGAAATGTCAATCTTACTGAAATTTCTAAATCCACCTTTTTGAAAACTGGGATAAACTGTTGTTTCTTTTATTCTGGAGTTTCTCCTATCTTGCATACCTTTGCAAGGATGTGATCATACTGCCAAATTTTTTTGTGACTTGGTATAAAACTCTTCTAAGCCTACAGATATTAACTTCAGAGAAATCTCCATCTACAGCTTTATTGTTCAGAAGTCCATATCCATGGTGTACCTTCAACAATTATTCCCTCTATGTCCAAAGCTCCTTTTACTAGCAACTGTTCAGTAGAAAGGCTTGTAATTTCAAGGCTTCATGTAGAATTCCATCTCTAGAACTTAACCAGAAAATTTAAGGCCTCAAGAAATCTAAAATGTATAACCTGCTTATATATCACTACCAAAGGAATCTTTCTCTATTGTCCCTGACAAATGTTCTTCTCATCTCTGCTTACCTATCTAAAGTGACAGTATGCTTACTACCTTCTAAAAAGTTGTGAAAAAAAGAAGACCCAGAAATGAAATATTTGCTAAATTAACTTTCAAGATCCTAGATATTACATATGTACATATTTATATTTACCTATGACATGTGTTCAGAAATCTGGCTATCAGAATATGAGGATTATGATTAGGTTATAAAACAAAGAAGAGTTAGTAGCATTAAATTTTCCTTACTAATTGTTAACAGCAGCTGGAAGTCTCATTTTGGCACCAGTATAGGCCAGTCTTTATTTATTTATTTATTTTTTTGAGACAGGTTCTCACTCTGTTGCCCAGGCTGAAGTGCAGTGGTTCAATTATGGCTCACGGCATCCTTGAACTGCAGGCTCAAGTGATCCACCTTAGGCTCCCAAGCAGCTGGGACTACAGGTTCACACCACCATACCTGACTAATTAAAAGTTTTTGTAGAGATGGGGTCTACTATGTCCCCCAGGATAGTCTCAAACTCCTGGGCTCAAGTGATTTTCTCACCTTGGCTTCCCAAAGTGCTGACTGGCATTTTAAGTTAGCCCAAAGACCACTTTGGAGAGTATTCCCAGATTACCACTGAAACAAGTACACATTTAAAACATGAGTTAATAATTATTTCTCATTGACTCTCTAGTATGTGTTATTAACAGACTAATTTCATTGTTAATTTAGTTATCTATGTTATTACTATGTTGATAATACAGGCTGATAGCACGGGTAGTCTATGAACTGAATAAATATCATGTGACAAGTCTGACCCCATTATCTGAACCATTGATTGATTCCTGCAATTTATAGAAAAGATAGGTTGTGGGTTTTTTGTTTGTTTCAGACAGTCTTGCTCTGTCACCAAGGGTGGAGTACAACGGCATGATCTTGGCTCACTGCGACCTCTGCTTCCTGGGTTCAAGAAATTCTCCTATCTCAGCCTCCCAAATAGCTGGGATTACAGACATGTGCCACCATGCCTGGCTAATTTTGTATCTTTAGTAGAGATGGGGTTTCACCATGTTGGCCAGGCTGGTCTCAAACTCCTGACCTTAGCTGATCAGCCCGCCTCAGCCTCCCAAAGTGCTGGGATTACAGGCATGAGCCACCACACCTGGCCAGTTATGTCTTTTTTTTTTGTCTGAGACAGAGTCTTGCTCTGTTACCCAAGCTTGAGTACAGTGGCATGATCTCAGCTTACTGCAACCTCCGCCTCCTGGGTTCAAGTGATTCTCCTGCCTCAGCCTCCCAAGTAGCTGGGATTACAGAGGTGCACTACCACACTGAGGTAATTTTCGTATTTTTAGTAAAGATGGGGTTTCACCATGTTGGCCAGGTGAACATGGCCTAACCTTGTGATCCTCCCAAAGCCTCCCAAAGCGCTGGGATTAGAGGCGTGAGCCACTGAGCCCGGCCTATGTCTTCTTTTTTTTTTTTCTAAAAAAGAGCATTGCTGGGTGCAGTGGCTCACATTTGTAATCCTAGCACTTTGGGAGGCTGAAAGCGGGGGGATCACAAGGTCAAGAGATCAAGAGATCAAGACTATCCTGGCCAACATGGTGAAACCCCATCTCTGCTAAAAATACAAAAACTAGCTGGGCATGGTGGTGCATGCCTATAGTCCCTACTACTCGGAAGGCTGAGGCAGGAGAATCACTTGAACCCAGGAGGTGGAGGTTGCAGTGAGCCAAGATCATGCCATTGCACTCCAGCCTGGGCAATAAGAGTGAGGCTCTGTCTCAAAAAAAAAAAAAAAAGAGAAGAGAGTATTAGAAAATGTTCTTCCCCTTGGCTGAATTCATTATGACCAACAGTCCATTAATATTTCAGCTATCTATACTAGATATACAAATTTCTTAAAAGGGAATAACCATTACTCATCCCATTCTTTTTCTCTGCAAAATAAAAACGAAGTCAAGGAGCTGCATTTCTCTAGATTGAAAGAAACACATTTCAATACCTTACCTTACCTTACAATACACGTACCTTAAAATTCCAGCAATAAACCAACCTTTATTTTCCACTAAATTGCAATTAAATTTATTTTAATACCCTAATTGGCAAATTATTTTCATTCTAGATCTAATAGAATAATTTGTAATATAATTATTCAAAAGATAATTTTTCATTACCTGGGATTGGGAGGGTATCCAGATGGGTATGAAGAGATTCCACCTGGCATGCCTGGCATGTAGGAAGCTAAAAACAAGTTTTTAACATTGTAAAAATAACATACAAAGCCTGAAGATGTAGGCTACTGTATAAGATATACATCATACTGTCAATACACAGCAAAATTTCATAGTTAAAAAAATCTAAATTTCAGAACCAAAACAAAACAAATACCTCACCCTCTCATAATCCTCACATCATTAAACATGAATTACAATACTTATGACAATCCTGACCAGAAGAACTGGCAAACAGGTCAACCTGGTCAGCTTTTAAAGTTTTCAAGAAGTCTATAACCTGCGATAAAGTCAGGTTCAATTTCAAATTTAGATGGAGGTAATTCTGGTCTCCTTTGCTCCAAGGTTAACTTCTTACAGAGTAACTTCTTTATTATATCTAATAAATCTTTCGATATTTCTTTTATAACTATGTTGACCAATTAGCACAGCTGGTTTTGTTGGTTTGCTTGAAAACTTTAAGAGACGTCAAGTCCTATACAAAACTTACATTATCCAGACTAGTTAAAAACCAGTCTAGGCCAGGCGTGGTGGCTCATGCCTGTTAAGCCCAGCACTTTGGGAGGGCAAGGTGTGTGGATCACGAGATCAGGAGTTCGATACCAGCCTAGCCAAGATGGTGAAACACCATCTCTACTAAAAATACAAATATTAGCCAGGTGCAATGGTGGGTGCCTGTAATTCCAGCTACTCAGGAGGCTAAGGCAGGAGAATTGCTTGAACCTAAAAGGTGGAGGTTACAGTGGGTCAAGATCATGCCACTGCACTCTAGCCTGAGCGATAGAGCAAGACTCTGTCTCAAAACAAAAACAAAAACTAATCTAGGTGAAAGAGTGAGACCTTGTCTTAAAGAAACAAAACAAGAGCTCAGAAATAGAAGGGATAAAAGGTTAAAATCCAGGAAGCTTAAAGAATATTTTATATATTCTTTAAAGAGAACATGAATGTCATGGAACTAAGATCAGTGGTGCCAAGAGGGTAATCAGTGTAGAGGAAGAAAAAGAGAAGTTATTTTGACCTTAACTGACAAAAAAAAGAAGAAAAAAGAATCAACTCTAGAGTGTTTAACATGACTTATAGTGACTGAGTACAAAACTGAAATTCAACAGTGACAACAGTATGGTGTCTTTCTTGAATACTGCACTTCTAATGTCAATGTAAAACTCAAAGAAATTTAGAAAAAAAAAAAAAATGTTGCAGACTGGGTGTGGTGGCTCAAGCCTATAATCCTGGCACTTTGGGAAGCCAAGGCAGGTGGATCATGAGGTCAGGTGCTCAAGAGCAGCCTGGCGAATATGGTGAAATCCCTGACTTTTCTAAAAATACAAAAATTAGCTGGGCATGGTGGTGGGTGCCTGTAATCCCAGCTACTCAGGAGGCTGAGACTCGAGAATCACTTGAACCCGGGAGGCAGATATTGCAGTGAGCCAAGATCATGCCACTGCACTCCAGCCTGGGCAACAGAACGAGATACTGTCTCCAAAAAAAAAAAAAAAAAAAAGTTGTTTAAATTTATAAAAAAGTTACCTAGTGGTCACTGGCTATATTATCTGAGCAAATAAACAAAGGTAACGAGACTAGGAAATATTTGATATTTCAATTTTTTTTGAGATGGAGTCTCGCTCTGTCGTCCAGGCTGCAGTGCAGTAACATAATCACAACTGACTACAACCTCTGCCTCCCAGGTTCAAGTGATTCTCGTGCCTCAGCATCTCGAGTAGCTGGGACTACAGGCATGTACCACCACACCCCACTACTTTTTGTATTTTTAGTAGAGATGAGGTTTAATCATGTTGGCCAAGCTGGTCTTGAACTCCTGACCTCAGGTGATCTACCCCTGCCTCAGCCTCCCAAAGTGCTGGGATAACAGGCATGAGCCACCACACCTGGCCAAATATTTGATATTTCAAACTTAATAAGATACTCTACTCTTGGGCACTAAAGTCAATAGAATTTAATGAGATAAAAACAAATTTCTGATCCAAAAGAATTACTAGGATCTTTATTAAAAGAAATGCTAATCCTAAAACCAAGTTTATTCTGGGATGGTAGGGAAGGAAAGAGAAATGAGTTCAAAAATTCTTTCTGTTAAATTCCCATTCAGTTTATAAACTAAGATTTTCCTCAGGAAAAAATGGATTAAAAAGGAAAAAGTATAATTTTTAGCAGAAGAAAAATGAAAGCACACATAAGTTGTCTTATAAGATAAACAAGTTTGGTTAATTACAATCTTAAACAAAATTTACCAAAAAAAAAAATCACAGGTCAAAACACAACAAAATCAATATAGATTTATCAAATTCAAAACAAGTTAAGTACAACCAACTCACAATTATTCAGTGATTTTTAAGTATCGGTAAGAATTATTCAAGAAAATAGAGATAACAGAGATAATATACACCAATTAAGGGAGAAGAGATACTGTCTCCATGCATCCACCACTCCACACAAGGCAAAATCATGAACTGGCTGTACAAAAGAGAAGAAAGCTAAGAGCTAGATGTCCAATTGTGGATACCCAGAATAGCTGAATATGAATGGTTCAGTTTACCGTAATCCTTATCTACACACTGATTTTGGAGTTGCATAGAGAAAGGAGAGGTCAGACTACCTTTCAAGTACATGTGCTAACAAGCTGATCAAATAAGGCTATTCTGCAGCATGCATAATTTAAAAAATTCTAGCTCTATTACAGCACTTTCTCCTCCATGTTGGAATCCAGCACAAACATTCTTAGATTTCTACCTACAAATGGCAGCCCAAATGCCAGTCTTTGGTGGTAATCTGTACGTGCAGATGTGGGGCCTCAGAATACTTCCAAAAAATCCACTAACGTGATAAGCTAAAAAGCAAAGAAGTCATTAGTTTTTTTTCTTTCTTTTTTTTTTTTTTTACAAAGCTTTCTGTTCTCTTTTATTTGTATGAGTTTTAAAGTAAAAGCTCAATTCTACTTACTATTTGGTGGCCCTGTTGCCTGGTATGGTGGATAGGATGTCGAAATAGGACGAGAGAAGACTGGCGGTTCATCTCCAAATACCACAATCATGACCTGAATAAGCCCCAACAAGTCTGACTGTGGCTACAAAATGAAAACAAATTCAAGTCAGCTAGAGTCACTTTTCAGTAAAAAGAAAAAGGTTGGGCCGGGCACGGTGGCTCAAGCCTGTAATCCCAGCACTTTGGGAGGCCGAGGCAGGTAGATCACGAGGTCAAGAGATCGAGACCATCTTTGCCAACATGGTGAAACCCCGTCTCTACTAAAAATACAAAAATTAGCTGGGCGTGGTGACGTGCGCCTGTAGTCCCAGCTACTCGGGAGGCTGAGGCAGGAGAACTGCTTGAACCCGGGAGGCGGAGGTTGCAGTGAGCCGAGATTGTGCCACTGTACTCGAGCCTGGCGCCTGGAGACAGAGTTTCACTCTGTCTCAAAAAAAAAAAAGAAAAAAAGGTTGGCCATTTCTCATCAGTTTTCAACTCAGCTTGACAATTTTCTTTGTAGGAACCCAATCATGAAAATTTCATTTAATTTTTTAATAGAGCTGGGGGTTTTAAACATTACGTGCAGCAAGTTTCTTGCTTCAAGCATATAAAAATAGCACTAGTTAAAGCAATACGTTGCAAAATTCATACAGTTTTGTTCTTCATTTGACTCCATAAATTTATTTTAGTGCCACTGTACAATTTATTGTAAGTATACTGGTACAAATTTAGAGATTAGGGATAGATACAGGCAGCAGTCAGAATATTATTTAGGGCTGTTAAAAGACAGCAATGATATCTAGGAAATACATATTCTAAAATTAATTTTTATTAAAGATGTTATAAACTCTGAAATTATAGGCAGATTCTAGCCAAGAGTGGTGGTTCACATCTGTAATCCCAGCACTTTGGGAGGCCAAGGTGGGTGGACTGCTTAAGGCCAGGAGTTTGAGACCAGCTGGGCCAACATGGGAAAATCCCATCTCTCCTAAAAACACAAAAATTAGCCGGGCGTGGTGGTGTGCACCTGTGGTCCCAGTTACTCTGGAGGCTAAAGCAACAGAATCACTTAAACCTCAGAGGTGGAGGTTGCACTAAGCTGAGACTGTGCCACTGTACTCCAGCCTGGCTGACAGAGCAAGACTGTCTGAAAACAAAAAAAAGCACAAATTATAGGTAGATTCTAGCTTAAGAATTGCTAGATTGTAGTATAAAAGGGGTGAATTGTTAAAGGTACTAAAAGATCTTTCCTTCCAACAACAGTGACAGTGACAAAGAGACTGCCTATTTTTCCATAAGGGTTGCTAAGATTTTCTCTCAAGTATCTATTGACTACTGCCATGCATGGTGGCTCACACTCGCAATCCCAGCACTTTGGGAGGCCGAGGCTGGAGGATCAAATAAGGCTATTGTGCAGCATGCATAATTTAAAAAATTCTAGCTCTATTCCAGCACTTTCTCCCCCATTTGGAATCCAGCTTAAGCTCAGGAGTTTGAGACCAACTTGGTCTCTACAAATAAATAAAAAACTGTACGTGGTGGCATGTGCCTGTAGTTCCAGCTACTACAGGCAGTGGGAGGATCACCTAAGCCAAGAAGGTTGAGGCTGCAGTGAGCTATGATTGTGCCACTACACTCCAGCCTGAATTAGAGACCCTGCTCCAAAAAAAACAGAACCAAAATCCAACAACAACAACTAACAAGATACATCTACCAACCACTAATTAAACTGTGCTAGACAAAGTTGTTCAAATGGCTTATTGATGATTCTTCTTTTACTCCTTAATCTATTTTGTGTGGATCTCATCTCATATACTTCATTCATAAGTTCACTGAGTTCTGAAGAATTACTCAATCACTTTGAGAGGGTAACCATCTTCATAGTAACTACTTTTTATGCCCTCCCGACCCCCAACCCGCCAGACAAGGTCTTGCCATGTGGCCTAGCTTAGACTTGAACTCCTGGCTCAAACAATTCTCCTGCCTCAGCTTCCCAAGTAGTTGAATTTACAGGATTAGGATTGGCACTTCTTTAATACTCCTGACAGAAGAGTTCAGTGGTAGTTTTCACCTATTCCAAAGAACCAGACTCACCACAGTTCAATTTTGACCTAACTTATGAAAGATGACAATGAATAACATTTCCCAAAGCTTTCTGTAAAAACTTGCTGATTTCTACAGTTATAATATTTTTCTTGTGTCTGTAAATTTATACACTGAGACTTGGGGTGTTACAAGCACAGTATCTGTGCCACACTCAGATACTGTGGCTGGTGTGTGTGGGAGTGGCCAATGAGACCACACACTTTCTTTTCTCAGTTTTTCAGCCCAAGGAAATTACTTAACTAAATCATAGCCTTATGTAAGCCTCATGAATGTAGGTGAGATATAATTCACATCTCATAAAATTTCTTCTTTTAAAGTATACATTTCAGTGGCTTTTATTATTTCACAAAGCTATGCAACAATTACCACCAGCTAATTCCAGAATATTTTCATTATCCCAAAAAGAAACCCTGTACCCATTAGTAGTCACTTCCCATTTCCCTTTTCCCACTGCCCTTTAGCAACCACTAATCTACTTTCCATCTCTATGGATTTGCTTTCCTGAATGTTTCATATAGATTAAATCATATAATATATGGCCTTTTGTGCTTGGCTTCTTTCACTTAGCATAATGTTTTCAGAGTTCATTCATGTTGTTGTATGAATCAGTTCTTCATTCATACATTCCTACAGTTTTGTCAAGATAGGTTTTAATCACCACACCATTTATTTTACACTAAATTCTTTGAAGAAAATTAATATCTATGTTAATATCTACTTCCAGGTCTATTATAAAGCAACATTTTAAGAATTCAAACAGAGGCTGGGCGTGGTGGCTCACACCTGTAATCCTGACTTTGGGAGGCTGAGGCAGGTGGATCACCTGAAGTCAAGAGTTTGAGACTAGCCTGGCCAACGTGGCGAAACCCCATCTCTATTAAAAATACAAAAATTGGCCAGGTGTGGTGGTCGGCACCTGTAATCCCAGCTACTCAGGAAGCTGAGGCAGTCTCTATTTTACTGAATCCAATCTGCTACTAAACCCATCCACTGAGTTGTTTTTTTTTTTTTTGAAACGGAGTTTCACTCTGTTGCCAGGACTGGAGTGCAGTGGCAGGCACAATCTCAGCTCACTGCAACCTCTGCCTCTTGGGTTCAAGCAATTCTCCTGCCTCAGCCTCCCATGTAGCTGGGACTACAGGTGACTGCGTAGCCCGCCACTATGCCCAGCTAATTTTTTTCATATTTTTAGTAGAGACGGGGTTTCACCATGTTGCCTAGGCTGGTCTCAAACTCCCGACCTCATGATTTGCCTGCCTTGGCCTCCCAAAATGCTGGGATTACAGGTGTGAGTAACTGCATCCGGCCTGAGTTCTTAATCTCTATTAATTCTATTTTTTAGTTCTAAGATTTCTACTTGGTTTCTTTTTAATAAAATTTTCCATTTTGTCCTCTTTTTTTCTTGAACACACTGATCACAACCATTTTTTAGTCTGTGTCTGATAACTAAGTTTTGTGTGTGTTTGTGGGGCTGTAGTGGGGGGATGTCCTGTTTCTATTGTCTTTTTTCCTTCTTGGTTTTCTTGGTGTACCTGATAGATATAAATTATATGCTGAGCATTGTGAAAAATTATAAAGGGTCTATATATTATCTTCTTCCACCAAGGGTTGACCCTATCCTGTGGCAGGCAGAAACAGTCAGGATCACCTTAATAAAATCAGGGACTGAGCTGACTTAAGGACAGATTTTTTTTTTTTTTTTTTAGACAGAGTCTCACTCACTCTGTCACCCAGACTGGGTGTGACCTCAGCTCACTGCAACCTCTGCCCCCCAGGTTCAAGTGCTTCTCCTGCCTCACCCTCCTGAGTAGCTGGCACAGCCGGCTAATTTTTGTATTTTTAGTAAAGACAGGGTTTCACCATGTTGGCCAGGCTTGTCTCAAACTCCTGGCCTCAAGTGATCCTCCTGCCTCAGTCTCCCAAAGTGCTGAGATTACAGGTGTGAGGCCACCCCACCTGACCTCAAGGACAGACTTTTATAAGGCTCATTCTACCTCTAAGTTCTCCCTCCTAAGATGGGTTACTCCAGTGATGCCAACTAACAGCCTAGGATGTTTACTTGCTCCTCTTCTTCTTGATAAGGTACTGAATTCCAATTGCCTCCTCAACCTGAGACTGCTGAAAAGTTGGCTGTTTTTCAGAGGCTTTCTGCTTATTTAGCATCTTTTTCTTTTCTTTTTTTTCTTGAGAGAGTCTTGTTCTGTCACCCAGGCTGGAGTACAGTGGTACAATCTTGGCTCACTGCAACCTCTGCCGCCCATGTTTAGGTGATTCTTCTGCCTCAGCCTCCCAAGTAGCTGGGACTACAGGTATGTGTGACCACACCTGGCTAATTTTTATATTTTTAGCAGAGATGGGGTTTTACCATATTGGCCATGCTGGTCTCGAACTCTTGACCTCGTGATTCGTCCACCTCAGCCTCCCAAAGTGTTGGGATTATAAGCATGAGCCACCGTGCCTTGCCAGCATCTTACCTTTGAAGCTCAGTAATTCAACATATCTCTTAGGGTGAGAAACTCAGAGTATCTCATCCTTTTTTTTTTTTTGAGACAGGTCTTGCTCTGTTGTCCAGGCTGGAGTACAGTGATGTGATCATGGCTCACTGCAGCCTCAAACTGCCAGGTTCCAGTGATCTTTTCACCTCAGTTTCCTGAGTAGCTGGGGTCACAGGCACACAACACCATTCCTAGTTTTAAAACATTTTTTTATAGAGATGGGGTTCTCAGTCTGTCGCCCAGGTTGGTCTCAAACTCCTGAGCTCAAGCAATCCTCTTACCTCAGCTTCCCAAAGTCCTGTGATCACAGCTATGAGCCACCATGCCCAGACCTACTCACTTCTTCATAACTTCCTTTTCTCCCAAATCTTGGATCTGAAAGTCCTAGTTATTTTGGTAGAAAGAACAGCAACTTTTGTCTTTTCAGCCGTGTGAGACTGCTAGAGACTCTGCAGGTTTCTCTGCCTCTTAGCTATGGCCCTCTGCCCAGATTCTCAGCCATTCTCCCTGCATCAAGAATCAGTAAGTAGACCAGGTATGGTGGCTCATGCCTGTAATCCCAACACTTTAGGAGGCCGAGGCGAGTGTATCACTTGAGGTCAGGCCAGGTGTGGTGGCGAGCACCTATAATCCCAGCTATTCGGGAGGCTGAGGCAGGAGAATTGCTTGAAGCTGGGAGGTGGAGGTTGCAGTGAGCTGAGATCATGCCACTGCACTCCAGCATGGGCAACAGAATGAAACAACAAAAAAAAGAATCAGTAAGTACCCCAGGAGAAAAGCTATTGGCAGAACTGCCTCATCTCTTTGCTGTTTCCTTCTCTATAGAATCTTGGCCAACCATGTCTTGATTGCCTAAACAGCTTTCCAAAGCCTTCCAACAGGTGTTGGGTGTATTTTGTCTTGCTTTTCTAGTTATTTTTCATAGGAACATTAATCTGTCACAGTTACACCATCAGATACATAAACAGAAGTTCCCACCTATTATTCTTCACAGAAATGCTTTGAGTAAAGAGATTTGAATTCTGTAACTCTTCCACCAGGATACTATTTTTTAAAATGCACTTCCTACCGTGTGAATCCTGCCTATTTTAAAAGGTTCAACTCAAGCAAAAAAAAAAAAAAGTGAATGTAAGTATTCTGAAAATTACAATGCTCTATACAAATCCATTTCTTTTAGTGAGCCTTTTCCAATTTACCCTCAACTCAGTGATTAGTCCATGACCTGAACTTATCTATCCTACTTGGAATCCTTCCGTGCTTAAGAAAGCAGATGCTAGTTAGCAAAGTATATAACACACGACTAATTCACAGAACATTATTAATACTTACGTGTTTCCATTCATGTAGATAAGGAAGATATATCTTCCCATTTGCATCAACATGCTTTCCTGTTTTAATAGTCATTGAACTAGTAGGCTTAACAAAACAGATAGGGGGATTATATGGGTATGTGTCCAGTAGCCATAGGCATATTGGAATATTATATGTATTACCTAAAAAAGAAATAGAAACTTCAGTTACTCTATTTTTATTTTTAAATTAATAGCATAATAGGTAAATAAGAGACAGCTACAACAAAGCAACACTTAAAAAAAAAACAACAAGTATTTTGTGTTTCAAAGTTCTGCTTACAATCAGTTTCTCGCATTTTCAGTCTTTTAAACCACAACAGCAGGATGAAGGAGCTAACTGATTACTATTCTACCAGCATCTGTTTGCTATTGCAAAATGTTTTTTATGAATTATCTATTGAGCCCTATTCTTTGCTACTTGACTCCTGTCACTTCAGTTAATAAGGATGGCTGGGAAGGGATACAGAAGGAAGGAAGAACAGGGATTAAGGTACCATATCATGTGTTAAAATAAGCTACACCTGAAATTCTCTTACGAAAAGCCAGATTACAAAACCCAATCCAACTGCCAAACAGACGCTGACTGGTATTCACAGCTTGACCAATGCCTTATGGCATTTTCAGTGATAGTTATTCAGATCAGTGATGCCCACTTCTCTGCTTTATATATAAAATCTCAGTTGAGAAAGTTGACTCAGTGTTTCAAAGGATCCAACAGATTAAATATGTGAAACATAAATCATACTCTTTTCTTACTATGCTCAAAGTCCTATGTCCCAAGTAACTATATGAATCTCCTAACATAATTAAGATGCATTTTTTCCTTTAGAAACAGTTTCACTACACATAAATGCGTATACACAAATTTCACCTAAAGACACCAGATATCTGTGAGTCTTTGGATTTGCCTTTTTAACCACAAATTACTTCTACAATGAACAACAAAAAAGCTCCAAAAGAATATATCCTAATACATAAGTTTATTTCCATAATCCAGAATTCTCTGCTTTGTGAAAATGAAGAATTCCCCAAAGTAATTTAGGCTTGTGGACTATGCCATATGAAGAATGGTTAAAGGAACAGAGGTTTTGTTTAGATATGATTTATACATATATCCACCCCCACCCCATACCAATTTCGCCCAGCAGAATTTATTTCCTGAGGGCAAAAGCAAAATTAGTAATATTAAATTTTACTGTCTTCCCTAAACTTATACTTGCTTTATAAAATGCTGATGCTCAATTAACTGTATTTTCCCTCTGCTTTTTATGAATGGTTGACTTATTATTTAATAGCATCTCAAATGTCACTTCCTCTGTGATCTTCTCACGTGGCCTTGCTCTCCTCTGTAATCTCACAGCAGTTTTTCATTTTATAATTCTATAGCAGTTACAGAATAGTGTAAATAGTTATCTATTCCCTTTGTTTCCCTATTAGTGGAGTTCTTCCAAAAGAGGTACATCCTTTACTCATCTTTGTATCCATAGCTCCTCTCGTTATTGCCTTATGCATAGCAGGTACTATGTAAAATCAATGGGTAAAGGACATAGGTCTTAACTAGTTACAGGGAGTACTTAACAAACAGAGCTGTCCAAATACAAAATGGTCTCTCATGAGGCTAAATGCTTCCTTACCACTAAGTATTTAAGCAGAGGGTAAAGGACTGGGTAACAAATTGATTATCTATCATTAGCATTATCACCAACATCACAACCATAAATAATAGCTACTTTTAATTGCCTGCTTATTATATTCCAGGCTCTGTGCCAAGTCCTTTACATCCATTATTTAATAAATGCTCATTTTCCCCACGTTAGGTACCATTACCCAAATTTCATAGATGTCCACCTAGAACATGTCACGAAACTGCTAAGACTGGCGACACAGCAAGACTCTGTCCCCGCCAAACAAAAAACAAAAAAAGAAAAGGTAATGTATTGTGTTACAATGTTATTATGGCTAAGCTATCACTAAGCAATCAAAAGTTTTTCAACACTATTAGAGTCTTATTTTGGGAGGCCGAGACGGGTGGATCACGAGGTCAAGAGATCGAGATCATCCTGGCCAACATGGTGAAACCCCGTCTCTACTAAAAAATACAAAAATTAGCTGGGCGTGGTGGCACGCACCTGTAGTCCCAGCTGCTCGGGAGGCTGAGGCAGGAGAACTGCTTGAACCCGGGAGGCGGAGGTTGCAGTGAGCCGAGATTGTGGCACTGCACTCCAGCCTGGCACCTGGCGACAAAGCGAGACTCTCTCTCAAAAAAGAAAAAAAAAAATTTATGGAATCTCCATCATATATGTGACCACTGACTGAAACAGTTATGTGGCTCATGATTGTAGTACTTGGAAAAATGGACCACAATGCTATGGTCCCTGTAGTTATGTTTGAGTAAGAACTCAAACATAAGTCCGTCCTAACTTTGAAGCTTATATCTTAGCTTCCCATTGTCAGAGAAGTTTGAATGGTGTGGGAGGCTGAACTAGGAGACAAGTAAGATCCCTTTCTAGATTCTTTGATTCTGTGAAACATTATAATTCCTCAGGTGAACTTAGGCACTTATTTGTTCATATATCTTGGTAAAGAAGTTTGAAAAGCTGAAAATGTTAGGTGTTGCTGCCAAATAAAAGTCAATGTAAATAGAAGTTAAAATCCCTGTCAGTATGAAAGCCAGGAGAAAGTAGATTTAATTTACTTATAACTCTTTGGCAACATATTTATTATGTATTCAAAATTCATCTATGCTGGAAACCTAGTAACATAAAACATATTTACCTCTATAAGGCACAGGAATTGTTCCAGTGAGGTTCATTAGTTCCCGGGAACTGCCATCGTTAAAAACTGAAAGGAAAGAACAATGATTTAACCATGAGCATTTTTTTCAGATATACTCCCATAAGTTATTCTTTCAGAATAACTGGTTAAATGCATTTTTATCCTTGAAAGGGGCTAACTTGTCAATGTATCGTCCATCTTGTTCAATAACTAAGAATTTTTTGTTAATTCACTCAATGTGATTGGTCAGCTTTTTTTGGGTGGGGGGGCAGAGTCTCGCCCTGTCACCTTGAGTGCAATGGCATAATCTTGGCTCAATGCAACCTCCGACTCCGGGTTCAAGCAATTCTCCTGACTCGGCCTCCTGAGAAGCTGGGATTATAGGTGCACGCCACTAAACCTGGCTAATTTTTGTATCTTTAGTAGAGAAGGGATTTCACCATGTTGGTCAAGCTGGTCTTGAACTCCTGACCTAGTGATCTGCCTGCCTGACAGTACTGGGATTACAGCCATACGCTACTGAGAGAGCCAAATGATCAGCTTTTGAATTAGCAAAGATAAGATGCTTTGAATTACAGTCATGTGTCACTTAACAATAGGAATATGTCTGAGAAATGCATCATTAGGCAATTTTGTCACTCTGCAAACATCATATAAAGTGCACTTATGCAAACCTAGATGGTATTTAGCCTACTACAACTCTAGGTCATACGGTATAGTCTACTGTTCCTAGGCTACAAACATGTACTGCATGTTACTATATTGAAGATGTAGACTATTGTAACACGATGGTAAATATTTATGTAATTTTTTTTTTTTGAGATGGAGTCTTGTTCTGTCACCAGGCTGGAGAATAGTCGTGTGATCTTGGCTCATTGCAACCTCCGTCTCCCAGGTTCAAGTGATTCCCTGCCTCAGCCTCCTGAGTAGCTGGGACTGTAGGCATGCACCACCAGGTCCAGCTAATTTTTTGTATTTTAGTAGAGATGGGATTTCACCATGGCCAGAATGGTCTCAATCTCCTGACCTCATGATCCACCTGCCTTGGCCCCGCAAAGTGCTGGGATAACAGGCATTAGCCACTACGCCCAGCCTATGTATCTTTACATAGAAAAGGTAATGTAGGCCGGACACAGCGGCTCATACCTATAATCCCAGCACTTTAGGAAGCTGAGGTAGGCAGATCACCAGTTCAACGGATTGAGACCATCCTGGCCAACATGGTGAAACCCCGTCTCTACTAAAAACACACAAAAAAATTAGCCAAGTGTGGTGGCACACGCCTGTAGTCCCAGCTACTCGGGAGGCTGAGGCAGAAGAATCACTTGAACCTGGATGACGGAGGTTGTAGTGAGCTGAGATGGTGCCACTGCACTCCAGCCTGGTGGTGACACAGCAAGACTCTGTCCCCCATAAACAAAACAAAAAAAAAAGGTAATACATTGTGCTACAATGTTATTATGGCTAAGATGTCACTAAGCAATAAAAACTTTTTCAGCACTATTAAAATCTTATGGAATCTCCATCATACATGCGGTTTGTCACTGTCACTGACTGAAACCTTGTTATGTGGCTCATGATTGTAGTACTTGGAAAAATGGATCAGAATGCTACAGTCCCAGTAAATATGAGCTCTTGGTCCCTAACTAACATGATTATAAACCTATTTAAAAATCACTACCAAACAATACCATACTAAATGTTACTCTAATGTCATTATGTTTTAGAGATCCCATTTATCCCTAGTCATTCACAGTTATTTATTATTGTTTTTTAGAGACAGGGTCTTGCTATGTTGTACAGGCTATTGTCAAACTCTAGGCTCAAGCAATCCTCCTACCTCAACCTTCCAAGTAGCTGGGACTACAGGCGGGCACTATCATGTCCAGCTTTTTTTTTGTTTTTTAGAGAAACGGTCTTGCCAAGTTGTCTAGGCTGGACTTGAACTCCTGGGCTCAGCCTTCTTAGCCAGTATAAAAACTAAAAAAAGGAAAAGTTCATAGCCAAATATAGACATTTTCTTTTAATCCGTATTTCTCATACCACACGCATTTTTCTATCTATAATTTATGTCTATAATTAAAATGGCACCTAGTTTGTATTACCTGGACAGCTATTTATTTCTAACAATGATTTGGAATTAACATTATATCACATAGGGGAAAGACTGTAATGTGCAGTATAAAAGCATAGAACTATAGCCATCTACTGTGTAATGTTTGGGTCAACGATGGACTGCATATAAGACGCTGGTCCTGTAAGATTATAATACTGTATTTTTACTGTAACTTTTCTATGTTTAGATATATAAATACCATTGTGTTACAACTGCCTATGGTATGCAGTACAGTAACATCTGGTATAGGCTGTAGCCTAGAAGCAACAGGCTATGCCATATAACCTAGGTGTGCAGTAGGATTTATCATCTAGGTTTGTGTCAGTGTACTCAATGATGAAATCGTCTAATAATGCATTTCTCAGGCCATTTCTCTATCACTACAAAATGCATGACTGTACACTGTTGCCCTTTGTTCTTTTCCTTACTGTTGACAAATGTAAACTATACTGCAATGTATTCTGATTTTGTGCATTTTAAAAAAGAAAACCATCTTATGTAAATTTGGGGCTTTGTTTACTCTAAAAGAATTTTGGTAACAATGGTATATACTTGTTCCAGCCATACGAAACTGTACAAGATTTGATAATGGAGTCTTTGACAGTTTTGATCAATGTATTTAACTCTTTTATATGAAGTAAAAACTATAAAGTTTTAGCTCCATTTTTCTCCCCACTGAAGCCATTTAAAAACTAACTTTAATTCCGGTAATGTGTGGAGAGAAATAGGGGAGGCTGAGATGAGAAGGAATCGTGCCCTAGGTTTGGAAGAAGACTTTGGGTTCATGTCTGTATTGTTCAGGAAATGCAGAACTGATTGTCCCTCTGCTGCTTCCCACCTCTCTTCACCAGGTTTCTAATGTTTCAAAGCCTTGGAAGGGAGTAAAATTTACAAAGTCTCAGCTACAAAATTCAGTTCCTTGCCTTCATAGCTAAGGATCTCTATTGAATTAAAGACCACATTAAATAACATTTTACTCATCTATAAAAGAAAGGGACAGTGGACAGTCCAGAGTACAGTTTTGTAAAATGTGTTTCTGAAATTATGAAGAGACACTATGGGGGCAAGGAGTTTCAGCAGTTAAATAACTTTAGAATGTATTACACAATATATTCTCTCTCGTGTTGGTGATATACAACACAGTAGCATATTAAAGGCTCCAAGAAATCTTCATGCAATGAAACTCAATTCGTTTAATCCCTAAGTTGCTCAAACTTAACTACAGAATTCTGCCTCTGCCCCCAGCACAACTAAGGGTCTATAGATAACACTTTGAGAAATGGACTCGATTTTATCTTTAACATGCCCTCCTGTCTAAATTAGCACAGTTCTTTGTCAGAGGTTTTTTTTATTTTTTTGAAACAGGGTCTTCCTCTGTTGCCCAGGCTGGACTGTAGTGGCATAATCTCGGCTCACTGTAACCTCTGCCTCCTGCGCTCAAGTAACCCTCTCGCCTCAGCCTCCTGGGTAGCTGGGACTACAGATGCACCAGGCTAACTTTTTAAATTTTTTTGTTGAGATGAGGTTTCAGCATATTGCCCAGGCTGGTCTCAACTTCCTGGGCTCAGTGGTCTGCCTGTCTCAGCCTCTCAGACTGCTGGAATTATAGGAATGAGCCATGCGTCCACCTAGAGTTTTTTTTTTTTTTGAGACAGAGTTTCACCTGTCACCCAGGCTGGAGTGCAGTGGCACAATCTCAGGTCACTGCAATCTCTGCCGCCTGGGGTCAAGCAATTCTCCTGCCTCAGCCTCCCAAGTAGCTGGGATTACAGGTGCCTGCCACCACACCTGGCTAATTTTTGTATTTTCAGTAGAAACAGCGTTTCACCATGTTGGCCAGGCTGGTCGTGAACTCTTGACCTCGTGATCCACCCACTTCGGCCTCCCAAAGTGCTGGGATTACAGGTGTGAGCCACCACGCCTGGCCAAGTATTTCTTTTTAACTTAAAAAACTAGGCTGGGCGCAGTGGCTCAAGCCTGTAATCGCAGCACTTTGGGAGGCGAAAGCGGGTGGATCACGAGGTCAAGAGATTGAGACCATCCTGGTCAACATGGTGAAACCCCATCTCTACTAAAAATGCAAAAAATCAGCTGGACATGGTGGTGCGTGCCTGTAATCCCAGCTACTCAGGAAGCTGAGGCAGGAGAATTGCCTGAACTCAGGAGGTGGAGGTTGCGGTGAGCTGAGATCGCGCCATTGCACTCCAGCCTGGGTAACAAGAGCGAAACTCCATCTCAAAAACAAACAAACAAACAAACAAACAAACAAACAAATAAATAAATAAAACTAAAGAAATATAAAACTTTTTTTTTTTTTTTGAAACAGGGTCTCCCTGTGTCACCCAGGCTGGAGTGCGGTGACGTGATTTCGGCTCACTGCAACCTCCATCTCCTGGGTTCAAGCGATTCTCCTGCCTCAGCCTCCCAAGTAGCTGGGATTACAGGCATGTGCCACTACGCCCGGCTAATTTTTGTATTTCTAGTACAGACAGGGTTTCATGATGTTAGTCAGGCTGATCTCAAACTCCTGACCTCAGGTGATCCGCCTGCCTCGGCCTCCCAAAGTGCTGGGATTACAGGCGTGAGCCACCGCGCCCAGCCAAAACATTTTTATTAGATCTTATAATCTGCTACCCTCCAACAGTTTTATTAAGCGGTGGTGCAATCCTACAATTGAAGAACACACAGGCCTCAAAGAAAACGGAAAAAATTACAATCATTAACAAAGAGAGTAAACTCCAAGTAGAGGAATTGCTATTTTTATTGCATAAACTCACCATATGAATCCAAAACAGGTTTGAGATCTTTGTATAGAGTAATAACATTGACAGTTTCACGTACAGTTAGGTCTCTGTATTTGTACTGAAAAGCAAAATTGCATAAGAATTTAGTTTAAAACCAATGCATATATTTTACTGCTAGATGAATTTTCTTAAAACCTTTTCCACTAATCGTTAACATTAAGGAAAGCCTGAAAGAACCTAAAAATCCCACAATGCTATTATCTCACTAAAATAATCACTATTCCCTTAATATCAGAAAATAGCTATAGTCTCAAGTCATGTTTTTTATGTTTTCAGTTTGAATCAGGATCCAAATAAAGTCCATACATTGCATTTGTTAAAATGTCTCTTAAGTCCCTTTTAATTTATATTTTTTAACTCATCATTTATGGCTTTTTAAAGATAAAATTCACACATTTAAAGGGTACATAGTTCAATGTATTTTAGTATATTCAGAGTTGTGCAACCGCCACCATAATCAATTTTAGAACATTTTCGCCATCCCTAAACAGAAATTCATACCCTTTAGCAATCACCCCCCAATTTTACTTGTCCCCAGCCTTTATCCTGGACAACCGAGAATTTACTTTCTGTCTCTATAAATTTGCTTATTCATACAATATATGATCTTTCATTACTAGATTCTTTCACTTAATAGGTTTTCAAGATTAACCATGTTCTAGTATTTATCTGTATTTCACTCCTTTTATTTATTTTTTTTGAGACAAGGTCTCGCTCTGTTTCCCAGGCTGAAGTACAGTGGCACAATGATAGCTCACTGCAACCTCAAACTCCTGGGATCAAGTGATCCTCCTGCCTCAGCCTCCCAAGTACGTAGAATTACAGGTGTGTGCCATCATGTCCAGCTAATTTATTTTTATTTTTGTAAAGACAGGGTCTTGCTATGTTGCCCAGGCTGGTCTCCAACTCCTGGCCTTAAGCAATCCTCCTGCCTCAGCCTCCCAAAGCGTTGAGATTTATAGGCATCTATGGTCCACTTCTTACTGCACATTTATCTACTGTTCAGCTACAAATACAAATACTTAACTGATGGGCACATCTCTATTTTGGCTCCTTAGAATTTATTTGTTAAAGAAATCTGTTCATTTGTCCTATAGAGGTATGGAATTTGTTAACTGTATCCCTTTAGTATAAGATAAATGTTTCTGATTTAGTTGGATCTAGAGGTTATTATCTTCATGATTAAAAAATTTCCTTTAATTTTTTTTTCCTCTTTCTCTCTAAGATCACTTTATAGAGGATAATGTTTTTCATCATGAAGCACAATGTATCTGAGTATCTTATGATGTTAGCAATCACTGATGCTCAATGTCTAGAGACCTGGTCTCTTCAAATCCACTCCAATTAGGCTTCTAAACGCAGCACTTCACTAAACTTGTTCATTAAGGTCACCAATAACTGCCACATGATATGCAATGACCGATTCTATCTTCATTTTACTTCACCTATTAGCAGCATTTGACCAAGTTGATTTGGCAATATTTGACCAAAATGATTCCTTCCTTTTTTTTTTTTTTTTTTAAGATAGGGTTTCATTCGGTTGTCCAGGATAGAGTGCAGTAGTGCTATCATGGCTCACTTTAGCCTCAACATCCTGGGTTCAAGTGATACTCCCACCACAGCCTCCCAAGTAGTTGGGACTACAGGCACGCGCCATAAGACCTGGCTAACCTTTAGATTTTTCATAGAAATGAGATCTCACTATGTAGCCCACCCAGGATGGTCTCAAACTCCTGAGCTCAAGTGATCCTCTCACCTCAGCCTTCCAAAGTGTTGGTGTTACAGGCATGAGCCATCAGGCCCAGCCCCCTTCCTCTTAAAACATGTTCTTCATTTGATTTCCAGGACATCAACTGTTCTCCTGCATTGTCTCTGTGTCTTCTCAGTCTCTTTGCTGGTTCATTCTCTTATCCTAACCAATTATTATCAGTGCAGGCTCAGTCCTTGGTCCTCTTCTCTATCTAAACTCATTCCTTTGATCACCCTCGTGGTTGAAAATATAATTTATATGTTGAAAACCCTCAAATTAAAATTTTCCAATCTTAGCCTCTTCTCTGAACTCCAGAAAACATGTATACAATTAACAATTTGACGTTTCCCCTTGAATATTAATGAATGTCAAATTGAAACATGATCAAAACTGAATTCCTTATCTTCTTCCCCTCAAATTTACTTCTCCAGTGTCTTCCATATGTATTTATATATGTATGTATGTATGTATGTGTGTGTGTGTATATATCCTTCCAGGTGCTCAGGACAAAGACTCTGACATTATCCTTGATGTCCTCTCTTTTCTTCACACCCACAGGAAATCTGTCAAAATATCCTGCTAGCTTTACCTTCAAAATATAACTGTAATCTCCATAGCTACAGTCCTGGTCTAAGCCACCAGCATCTCTCACCTAGATTACTGCAACAGCCTCTTTATGGTGTCTCTGCCTCCATCTTTAACCCCCTGCAGTCTAGTCTCAACATAGCAGCTAGAGTAATGCTAACAGCTAAAACAGAAATGGCTTTTCATCATACTCCAAGTAAATGCCAAGGTTCTTACAATGGCCTACAAGGCCCTCTAAATCTCCTATACCACTGATGCTCTATGTCTAGACCCATACCACCACTTCTTCCCTTGTTCACTCCAGTCTAATCACCCTACCCTCCTTTGTTGTTCCTCTATCATGCATGACAAACTTCTGTCTCAGAGGCTTTGCACTTGTTTTTCCTTATTTCTGAAATGTTCTTACCCCAAATTATTCCATGCTGGTTTTCTTTTTGAGTCAGGATCTCACTCTGTCACCCAGGCTGGAGTACAGTGGTGTGATCACAGCTCACTGCAACCTCAAACTCCTAGGCTCAAGTAATCCTCCCATATCAGCCTCCCAAGTAGCTGGAATTAGAGGTACATATCAAGCCTAGTTCATTTTTTATATTTTTAGTAGAGAAGAGACAAGATCATACTATGCTGCCCAGGCTGGTCTGGAACTCCTGGCCTCAATACGATCCTCTAGCTTCAGCCTTCCAAAATGCTTGGGGCTCAGAGCTGTGAGCCCCGTGTCAAGCACAGTTTCCTACCTCTCTCAAGTGAGCTCAAATAGTTTTTTTCAGAAAGACCTCCCTTTACTATCATATATAATACTGACTCATCCCAATTCCAGCCCCTAGCACTCCATTTCTCTTTCCTGCTTTATTTTCTCTAAAGCATCTATCACTTTCCAACATACTACTTAAGGTATTAAGTTGTTTACTGCTTTAAGAATTTAAATTCCAGAAGCATATTGTCCGATTGTTCACTGTTGTATCCCTAGAACCTAAAACCTTATGAGGGATATGGCAACCTTTATTTTGTTATTTTATTATTATTATTATTTTGAGATGGAGTCTCACTCTGTCACCCAGGCTGGAGTGCGGTGGCATGATCTTGGCTCACTGCAACCCCTGCCTCCCAGGTTCAGGCAATTCTCCTTCCTAAGCCTCCTGAGTAGCTGGGATTATACGTGCGCGCCACCACGTCTGGCTAATTTTGTATTTTTAGTAGTGATGGGGTTTCACCTGTTGGCCAGTCTGGTCTCAAACTCCTGATCTCAAGTGATCTGCTCGCCTCAGCCTCCCACAGTGCTGGGATTACAGGCATGAGGCACTGCACCTCTCCAATTCTATTACTGTTTACATTTTCTTATTTTTTGACAGGGTCTCAATCTGTCATGGCTCACTGTAACCTCAAACTCCTGGGCTCAAGTGATCCTGCTGCTTCTGCTTCCCAATTAGCTAAGACTACAGGTGCAGGACACCAAGTCTGGCTGATTCTTATAATTTTCTGTAGAGACAGAGTCTAGCTACGTTGCCCAGGCTGATCTAGAACTCTCGGCCTCAAGGGCTCCTCCTACCTCTACTTTCCAAAGTATTGGAATTACAGGCATGAGCCACCACACCAGGCTGACAGTTTTCTTCTACTCATTTAGCAGTGACTGCACCTTTAGAAATGCTATAAACTATGTAAAAATATAAGTGGTTGTATGTATGAAACATCTAAAGTGGAAAGCTTTTTCTGTAAAGCAAGAAGGACTAATTTAGTATAAATATATCTCCGTTAATTGCAAAAATGATAATACAGAAGGGTGATGAAAGTTACGTTTAAGGGCGAGGTGGCTCACGCTTGTAATCCCAGCACTTTGGGAGGCCAAGGTGGGTGGATCACGAGGTCAGGAGTTTGAGACTATCCTGGCTAACATGGCGAAACCCTGTGTCTACTAAAAATACAAAAAAAATTAGCCAGGTGGCACTAGCCTGTAGTTCCAGTACTCGGGAGGCTGAGGCAGGAGAATTGCTTGAACCTGGGAGGCGGAGGTTGCAGTGAGCCGAGATTGCGCCACTGCACTACAGCCTGGGCGCAATATATATATATTTATATATATATATAAATAAGGCAGGTGGCCAGAGTACCATGATGGGTGAGAGTCTACAATCAGATAAAGAGAAAACAATGACCTTCACCCTAGCCATGTGTACAGAGCACACCAGCTAAAAGGAAAACATTTCAAGCCCTTATTTAGGAGGAAGGAGCCCCGCAACTGCTTCTATTACTTTACTTTCTATTCTTACCTGTCTAAAATTCACAGGTTGGACAGAAAATTCATAGGATGCTCAGAACCATCATAATCACATACAGGAGTCTCAGTTTTTCAGATATTAAGCCAAGGACCAACAGACAGGTAGGATGCCCTCTCCCACCTCTTCCCTATATCTGTTTTTGTTTTTAGAGTAATCAGAGGTTGAGTGGAGGGGGAGGCAGGTAGAGGTATAAAATATCTCTGAACACACCCTGCCTTTGTCTTTAATGGGTTTCTCTAGGGGAAGCTTAGGAGACTTAAGAGTATAAAAAACAAGCTCATATTTGAATATTCCTGCTCTTTATATGAATATACATACATTAAGGAATAAATCTTAAAATGACTATGCTATCAATTTAAAGATCAAAAATGTCATGGAGGCCAGGCATGGTGGCTCATGCCTGTAACCCTAGCTCTTTGGGAGGCTGAGGTGGGTGGATCACTGAGGTCTGGAGTTTGAGACCAGCCTGGCCAACATGGAGAAACCCCATCTCCACTAAAAATACAATGAGGCCAGGCACGGTGGCTCACACCAGTAATCCCAGCACTTTGGGAGGACAAGGCAAGCGATATGCCTGAGATCAGGACTTCGAGACCAGTCTGGCCAACATGGTGAAACCCTGTCTCTACGAAAAATACAAAAAAATTAGCCGGGTGTGGTGAAGTGCACCTGTAATCCCAGCTACTTGGGAGGCTGAAGAATCACTTGAACCCGGGAGGCGGAGGTTGCAGTGGGCGGAGATCGTGCCACTGCACTCCAGCCTGGGTGACAGAGCAAGACTCAAAAAAAAAAAAAGGTAACTGAACAGATGCTATTCGGTTACACGCTATATAAAACAATATACCTTTTTTCTCTCTTAAGTGATATAACAGAGCTTTACCTGGGTCCCAGTCTTCTACAGCTTCCCACAACCTCCTCTATAACTAAGGATAACTAGTTTAACAAAACAAAACCAAGAAGCCTAGAATATATGATTACACAACTAAGGTACGCTTTATTTTGAAAACTGTCACTTTCTCTTTAGAGGTTATTTGTTCTTCAATCAAGAACTATCGGGGCGATTTAACTGAAAAAGGTCTGTTTTTAAAAAGTTTTATGCACAATGGTGTGTTTTATTAAAAATGAAACCACTTAAACTGCTAATTGCTACCATTCTTGCTTTGACAAACTATCCAAAGCTAACACGTTGAACTGGTTAAGACTCAACTCTCAATCATTTTACACAGTTTTGGCAAATTACAACAAAACATAACAAAAGCCATTCCACTCCGGTGTGAGGTGCCACGTTTGAAGTAATTCTATAAATAAATCATGGCTTTAAAATACAAAATGCTTAACTGCTTTTTTTTTAAATAAAAAAAATACACTATACCTGGGCTGTGAAGACCATAAATTAAGCTCAAAGCAAATAAATACGAGTTATAAGAAGCATACACTTATTAGCAGTTACTCTTAGCAAATTTCTGAAATGGTAATGGTATTTATTTCACCTGGGGAAGGGATTGGTATTTTGGCTTCTCTGGACTTTTCTGGAGCATACAAAACTGAAAAGGCCACCGTCCCTGCTGGCCGACAAGAAGAGGCGAAGGCTGGAGGATCACTAGATTGGGACAGTAGTAGAGGACTGCCTCAGATCTAGAACTAAGTATGATCCCTTCTTTGTGTTATAAAAACTAAAACGAAAAACTACACTGCCCCACAGTCAGCTCCCAACTCTGTGGAAGTGAGGAGGGCGTGTGGGCGGCAGGTGTCAGGCGGCCTCCGCTCGGCGCCTTTGTTGAGTGTCGCCGCCCCCACCCTCCCTGCTTCCGTACGGGGATTCCCGCACCAGGCGACAGGCGCCTCGGGGCTGGGGGCCGAGAAGGTAGCCAAGGACCGCACCCGGGCTTCCGGCCCGTCTGGGAGGCTTGCTTGGCTGGGCCGGGACTGGGCAGGGCGCGGAAGGGAGCGGTGGGCGCGTCGCAGCCTTACCTTGGACACCATCTTCTTGAGCTGGCTCTCCGACACCGCCATGACGGCCGCCTCCCGACTCCACTCCCAACAAGCAGAGGGTCAGCAGCTGCTGGGTTGCCCCAGGCCGCCCCACACAACCGCACACCCCCACCCAGCCTCAAACAACAGGAAGTCGGTAACAAGACAGCACTTCCGCTTCCTCTACGTCACTTCCGGGACGCCATCCTGAGGGCAAAGGTGGACACGGTGTGGGATTGAAGGAGGCCTGGTAGGGTGGTTCCAACCAACCCGCCCCTCGAATGTCAGATTCAGCCGGACGAATCGGGTCCCAAAGATGAGGGCAAGACTGTTCTGAGGGTCGAAACTCTGTTTCAGGATAAGATTGGCAGGTATTTCAGAGTCGATTTAAGGAACCTAGGGACGGGAGGGGAAGTACGAAGGGCTTGCCAGTTAGGTTTAATGACTGATTCATCAAGTGGGAGGACTCTGCACTGGCAGGCAGAGAACTGTTCCGCCACTGACTTGTCCTTGTGATAATGGCAGGCTAGTGCATTTCTAGCTCAGGCATCAGTTTTTCCCAACTCTTAAATGATACATTCGCATTAGATGACCAATGTTCCTCTGATTATCTAGTGATTTTTTTTAAGCTTAAAAGTCTACTACGTTGGCAAGGGTAAAGTATAGAGCCTTTGTTTCACAAGATGCCAGACAGTACTTTCTTCTCCAGGAAACCGTTCCCTAAGTCAGAATTTCTCCTCTGTGCCCAGACATAAATGACAACACAGGCTGTATTCTACCTGGTGGTGTATTTGTGTACTTGTTAACCGTCAAAATCTAAGCCCTCGAAGGCAGGCTTACTTCAGATCTTAATTGCCTAGCACAATGCAAGAGTAGGTATTCATCTTAATTGAATTTCTACTTTTCCCGTAAAAATTCTTCATGGTGACTTAAATTAGTCATTATTACACATCACCGCCAGTTTTGTAAGCACAGTGTCATTTAAGGTGTTGAAAAGTTTGAGTTTGATGATGAGATGTTTGACAGGATGATTTTAGTATATCCCTAATGATTACAAGGCTGTGGTATTGATTCCCTTCAAAGCTGGCATCTAAGTAAAGGTCACATTCACAAGAAGGGCTTAACTGAAAGCATGTAGAAGCATTATTATAAACTGTTGCTAACACACACAAATAAAGGCTATTCCAACAGGTATTGTTTTTTCTGTTTCTTTCTTTTTTTTTTTTTTGAGACAGAACTCCGTTGCCCAGGCTGGAGTGCAGTAGCGCCATCTCTGCTCACTGCAACCTCCGCCCGTTTTTCAATAACACCTTCGTTAAATATACAACTCCAGTCAAATCAAACTAGAGGTCAATCTGTTCTTACATTTTACTTGCTGTTAGATGTCATTTAAAAGCAATGTGGTTTTCAAACTGTTCTTAAAGCCACAGCTTAACCAGGAGTCCCTTTAATGAGAGCAACTGTACCTTTATGAATTGGAGGAATGCCACATAATATATATTTTTACATATTTTATACATTTATAAATATAAAAAAAATTATATATGTGTGAGTTTATTTTATATATATATATATATTGTTTGTTTGTTTGAGGTGGAGTTTTGCTCTTGCTTGCCCAGCCTGGAGTGCAATGGCGTGATCTCAGCTCACTGCAACCTCTGCCTCCCAGATTCGAGCGATTCTCGTGCCTCAGCTTCTCGGGTAGCTGGGATTACTGGCGCCCCCGACCAAGGCCAGCTAATTTTTTGTATTTTTAGTAGACACAGGATTTCACTGTATTGGCCAGGCTGGTCTTGAATTCCTGACCTCAGGTGATCCGCCTACCTCAGCCTCCCAAAGTGCTGGGATTACAGGTGTGAGCCACCACACCTGGCCTATTTATATATTTTTTGAGACATGGCCTCATTCTGTTGCTGAGATTGCAGTGCAGTGGCGTGAACATGGCCCTGGCTGAAGTGATCCTCCTGTATAGCTGGGACCACATGCATGTGCCACCATCCCCAGGGAGTTTTAAAATTTTTTGTAAAGATAAGGCCTCATTTTGTTGCCCAGGCTGGCCTCAGAACCCCTGGGCTCAGGTGGTCTCCCACGTTAGCCTCCCAAAGTCCTGGGATTACAGGTGTGAGCCACTGTGCCCAGCAATATATTGTTTAAAAAGCTTTCTTGCTGCATGTTTACTATCAGTCTTTTGCAATCTTTCAGGGTCAACACTGTACCCCGATATAAAGTGTTAACTAATTATATATTTCATTGGAACCATGGTAGATTGAATGTGTGTGGGGAAAACGTTTTTGTGGTTTTGGAAATATGCAAAATCAGTTAATTTTTTGATATTAAGGTAATAGTAGTTGAAATGCTTTTGAAAGTTGCTTGCCAGGTGCGGTGGCTCACGCCTGTAATCCTAGCACTTTGGGAGGTCTAGGTGGGCAGATGATGAGGTCAGGGGATCAAAGACCATCCTGGCCAACATGGTAAAACCCTGTCTCTACTAAAAATACAAAAATTAGCTGGGCGTGGTGGCACCATGCCTGTAATCCGAGCTACTCAGGAGGCTGAGGCAGGAGAATCCCTTGAACCAGGAGTCAGAAGTTGCAGTGAGCCGAGGCTGTGCTACTGCAGTCCAGCCTAGTGACAGAGAGAGACTCCATCTCAAAAAAAAAGTTGCTTGCCATTTCAACACTAAAGATGAGTTTTTTTCCACTCATTAGGCATTTTGATTTCCATCCTCACATATATTAATGGAGAATTTAAAATCCCCAATTATCACAGTTGAAAACACAAATAAGCTGGTGGTACACCTGTAGTCCCACCTACTCCAAAGGCTGAGGCAGGAGGATTATTTAAGTCCAAGAGTTCGAGTCCAGCCTGGGCAACATAGAACCTGGCTCAAAACCAAAGACTTAAAAAGTTTTCTTGCTAAAAATAACTTAAAAGTTTGAAAACAATTGATAAAAATCTAGTCTCTTCATTTTACACAAAATAAAATATCCTGGGTGCTGTATGAATTATATGAAATAATCTTTCTCCTTAATCTGAATACTTCCTTTCACTTAATAAATGAAGCATCACCTGGTGATTTTAAAATCAGTTTATTTTATTCATTATTCTTAATATTTAAGGAAAGCACTGTAAATTGGAAAAATAAAAGTGTACTTTCTGCTACATTAAAAAAGCATTTTTATCCCAAGCCCACTAAAAATTGTAACAAGCTCTGCATGATTTTGTAAAAATAAAAACACAAAAGTTAACAGAAGCATTTAGAATGTCAAATTATCACAACATCATAGGGAAGTGGTGGTGGTGGTATTACTTCTTGACTGGGATTTACATGATTACTAATACAGTTAACACTCAAGGAAATATCTGATACAGAGAATTACTTCTACATTGTGGCCTTCCAGAGGGCAAAGACTATATTATTCATCTTTGAACAGTCAAATTCTAACACAGTATTTGGAATAACAGTAAGTGTTAAATAAGCATTTGTTGTATTGACATGTTTCTTTTATAATTAATGTAATAAGTTTTTGGCAATTTATTATACAATATTTTCTGGTTAGATTATTGTTCAAAAGTATATTAGGAATTATCTAACTAATTAGATATCAAATATTAGAAAGGCTGGTTGCAAAAACACAAGAAATAGTTTTTAGTTTTACTTTCCTATTTCATATAAAAGGACAATAACAATACACTGTTAGGGTAACATGAAATAATTTACGTGTATATTGAAATTACATAGAACTAAATGTTTATCTCTTCAAATGTCCAAGGTTTTTATCCTGTTAACTCTGGGGGGACTCTTTCCAAGGGTATTGAATACTTTTCTGCTTTCCTAAACATGGGATACTGAATATAATTTCACCTTTTCTTTATGACTAAAGTTCATCATTATAAGCATTCCTTATTACACTAAAACAGCATTAGTTTGCCAATTTCCTCTTTACCTAGGATGTGTCTGGCCTTATATACCCTCCTATCACCGTCTGGATTCACCTATTATATGCTCGCTTTATTTTTATTTTTTTTAGAGACAGGGTCTCACTCTGTTGCCTAGACTGCAGTCCAGCGGCATATCATAGCTCACTGGAATCTTGAACTTCTGGGCTCAAGCAATCTTCCTGCCTCGGCCTCCTGAGTAGCTGAAACTACAGGTGCTTATGACCACACCTGGCTAATTTTTAAAATTTTTATTGGAGACACAGTGTCACTGTGTTACCCAGGCTGGTCTCAAACTCCCAAAGTGCTAGGATTACAGGCATGAGACACTGCACCCAGCCTTACGATATGCTGTTAAAGCACCTTGGAATTCTTCACAGTACTTTTTACACTTGTAATTGTATATTTATGTGAGATTTTATTACTATATCTTCCATACTAAATTGTATAGACCATGAGGGCTGGTACCTAGACCAGGCCTATTCACCATTAATAGTTCTACAGCAGGTTCCTAATAAATACTAGCTGAATGACTAAATAAATACCTACCTCAGTGCATAACCCCCTCTGCAATTTGCTGAGGAAATCTGGGAATCCAGGGATTCAGTCTTCCTAAAAACTATGTTTTTTAAGAAAGCAAGCCTTACGTGAGAATGAAAGTAATCCTTTCATGATATATAGGACCCCAACTTTAGGGTCTTTTGATAACCATTTTGGCCGTTAAGCATTTCCCCCCTTTTAGTGCCTAGAAAAAGTAGAGGTTGTATGGATAAGTGCCCCTTAATAACCATGACTTTTTGAGCACTAAACCTCAATTTCCTTTTATAAAATGATGATGGTAATAGTCCCTACTTTGGTGGGTTGTTGTGAGGATTCAGTAAAATAATGAAGTGCTTTTCACACTGCCTTGTATATACGAAGTGTTGATGTTAAGTGTTACTATTAGGTGTATGTCAGAATAGTAATAATGAGCTATCTCTCACATAAGAAAATATTGCTTTTGATCCATCACCAAAGTGTGTGTACTCTGAACTGTGTCATCAGGAGAGGTTAAAGGATTTGCTCAGAATAAATAATGGCGAGAATTCATTTGACCTCTCCCTATTATGATCAGTGTTTTTAATGAAAATCTCATATTATGGCTTTAAAGTAAGCTGCTTGGCTTTAATTCATAATCTGTTTCCACTAAAAATTCACATTTGGCTATGGTTCTACTAGTACCACAATTAGTTGATGAGATGTTGGAGATCTTATATATTCCAGGAAGAAGTTATGGAAAATTTCATAAAGGAAGTCCCACTAGAAATTAAAGTATACTTTTAATGCATATATTTTTAAAATTCACTTTCCCTTTTATGATTTTATTTTTCATTTATTTATTTATTTTCACTCTTGTTGCCCAGGCTGGATGCAATGGCATGATCTCGGCTCACTGCAACCTCTGCCTTCTGGGTTCAAGTGATTCTGCCTCAGTCTCCCTAGTAGCTGGGATTACAGGCATGTGCCACCACATACAGCTAATTTTGTATTTTTAGTAGAGATGGAGTTTCTCCATGTTGGTCAGGCTGGTCTTGAACTCAACCTCAGGTGATCCACCCACCTCGGCCTCCCAAAGTGCTGGGATTACAGGTGTAAGTTACTGCACCCAGCCCCCTTTTACTATTTTAAAGTGCATATAAAATTCTTTTCCATTTTTTGGTAGCTAATGAATTTGAAAGAGGGAAATACAATGCTTTACCATTACTACCAACAGCATTTTACACAAGAAACATTAGTAACTTAAGCTGTGGATCCTGTAATCCACAGGGTGTACACCTGACACAGATTTTGTAAATACATACCGGGCCTTGAACTTATGTTTATTATAGAAGTCAAAGGGCAACTTTCTTTTAAAGATGTATTACTTATAAAATAGTCCCAAAGTGTGAATTGTGCTTTCAATTTAGGATATATGAACCAAAATGATGCACATTGGAGATTAATGTTTACCCCTGCTGTAGATTTAAAGAACAGAATAGACATCTCAAGAATGCCAAATAAAATTAATTTTTCCCTTCCTTATCTAACTCCTTAAAGATTTAAATCACAAAGCTAAACAAGAAACCCTCTACTTTAACCAAGGAGTTTGTAAGGATAGGTAGAGCAGGATACAGAAATTCTCAAACATATATATATATGTAAAATTAAATGACTTTTCTTTTCAGGTGGAAGTCCAACCTCTCAAATTGCATTTGAGAATCAAAGTTTTAACTGTTGTTGGAGACCATGGATTGAGGATGCACTGCTTTGGAGTTTCTCAGTAATTCTAACTTCTTTCAATGTAGTTTTGATTTCAGATACTCCACTGGTTCCCAGGATGCAAGGCAAACTTAAAAACACTTCACTATTTATATCATAATATCCCTGAAATGAGAAAAATAGGGATTATAATAGAACTAAATCACTGCAAAGAAGGTAATACAAAAATGCATGCTTTCTTGCTTTCTTAGTTCTAGGACAAAGTGATAATTTGGACTTAAAAAAAATTTTGTGTTCATTTGTTTTGGTTTATTTTAATTTTATTTTTAGAAGTCCAGACCTCACAATTAATTGCTCACTGATTTTATAAACTGAAGTTATCATTTCAGAAAATTTTTGAGAGATGGAAGCAACTTGATCAGACACCCCCTTTGTAGAGAAGTAAGCTAGCCCCCCTGCAATATGGGTAGCAGGTTAGGGGCTTAGGGAAAAGATAGTTAAGAACGGATTTCCTAGGGAGGGGCATGGGAAGGTCTCTAGGCACAGTCAAATTACAATAGCTTCTTTAAAAAAAAATTACTGGTACCATGATGGTCTGTATTTATGGGGTACATGTGATATTTTGATGTATGCATACAATGTGTAATGATCAAATCAGGGTAACTGGGCTATCTATCACTTCAAACATTTATCATTTATTTGTGTTGAAAACATTCCAAATGGTTTCTTCTAGCTATTTTTTCTTTTCTTTTTTGCGATGAGGTTTCTCTATATTGCTCAAGCTGGTCTTGAACTCCTAAGCTTAAGCGATCCTCCCCCTTGGCTTCCCAAAGTGCTGGGATTACAGGCATGAGCCACGGCACCTGGCCTCTTCTAGCTATTGTGAAATGTACAATAAGGCCAGGTGAGGTGGCTCACACCTGTAATCCCAGCACTTTGGGAGGCTCAAGGTGGGCAAATCACGAGGTCAGCAGATCAAGACCATCCTGGCCAACATGGTGAAACCTTGTTTCTACTAAAAATACAAAAATTAGCTGGGCATGGTGGCGTGCATCTATAGTCCTAGCTACTTGGGAGGCTGAGGCAGGAGAATCACTTGAACCCAGGAGATAGAGGTTGCAGTGAGCCAAGATCATGCTACTGCACTCTAGCCTGGTGACAGAGTGAGACATCATCTCAAAAAATTAAAAAAATACAATAAATTTTTAATAATCACACTCATCCTACTGTGCTATTGAAAACTAGAATTTATTCCTTCTATCTATTTTTATACCCATTAACCAACCGCTTTTCATTCTAACCCCCAACCCCAGCCTCTGGTAACAAAACATTCTACTCTCTACCTCCATGAAATCAACTTTTTTTTTTTAAAGCTCCCACATGAGTGAGAATATGTAATATTTGTCTTTCTGGCACATAAGTCTAGGGTGACTTGGCTGGCTAAGATGATAAATGACAATCAGAAGAAATTTACAGATACATAAACACTATTTGGGGGTTGCCAAAAATTACATGAGGGTGAGAGGGCAACCTGATAGAAGTCCAGACTCTTTTTGTTTGTTTTTGAGAATAAGTCTCACTATGTAGGCTGGAGTGCAGTCCTGAGATCTTGACTCACTGCAATCTCCACCTCCTGCCTCAGCCTCCCAAGTAGCTGGGATTACAGGCACACGCCAATACGCCTGGCTAATTTTTGTATTTTTAATAGAGACGGAGTTTCACCATGTTAGCCAGGCTGGTCTCAAATTCCTGACCTCAAGTGATCTGCCTGACTCAGCCTCCCAAAGTGCTGGGATTAACCAAGATTTTATTTTTGGAGACAGGGTTTTTCTGTGTTGTCCATGCTGGAGTACAGTGACGGCTCACTGCAGCCTCAACCTCCCAGGCTCAAGAGATCCTCCCATCTCAGCCTACTGAGTGGCTTTCACATACCTGGTGAATTTTTGTTTTTGTTTTTGTAAAGATGAGATCTCACTACGTTGCCCTAGCTGGCAGACTTCTCATAGCTAAGCAGGATAGGGCTTAAACTCAACTGCCTTCTCCTACCTGTTACTCTAAAAGCTGGTGACACTGAAGACACCTGGGTTTGAGTATGAACAACGATTTTGCTGGTTTTGTATTAATAACATCTAAGTTTAAAATATAATGAGAGAGTAAGAATAGCAATTACCTTTGCTAAAGTTGATACAGAATGCACTTTCTTCTTATTGTTTACAATACTGTCAACCATGTCAGCTACTGATAGTCCAACAGACCAGGATCTTTGACCTTTTACTCTTAGCAGTTCCATGGCTCTAGGTTACAAAAATACTTGATCTCAGAAAATCCACAAAATATGCACATTTAGTTTTACATTCTGGTTAAGGTATTAATTAGATGTTTCTGTGACAGAAACAAGAGTTATTCAGCAATTGTTATGGAGGCCTGTAGATAATCTAATGTTTATTTTAACTTTTCTTAAGATGTCAGATAGGCAGTTCCAAGAAAATACAAATGACCTAGTAACATAAAAAATGTTCACTGCCATTGATATTTGACCATGAACTAAAACAATAAATACCAATTTGCCTATCGATAGCTGGCAAAAACTTAAAAGACTGATAACTAATTTGGAAAAACTATATACAGGCATTCCCATAATTGCTATTGAGAATGTAAAGTGATCTAACCTTTTAGGAAGAAGATTTGGGAACATCTGATCTAGAAATTCCTCTTCTAGGCATTTATCTTACAGTAATATGCTCAAGTGTGCAAAGATATATATAATAAGTATGTCTGCCATATTTGGAAACAACTCATCAAAAGAGGACTGGTTAAATAAATCACTACCAAATAAAATACCATGCAGCTTTTGAGAAGAATAAAGTGGGTTTTACATGTACAATATGCAAAAATGTCTGAGATTTATCATTAGGGAAACAAATCAAGTTGCAAGATAGTATGAATAGCATAAATCTACTATTATTATTATTATAATAATATATTTGTGGAAGCATTGAAAAAAATTTTTTCTTTTTAGAGATAGAGTCTCTATGTTGCCCAGGCTGGTCTCAAACTCCTAGGCTTCAGTGATCCTCCCTTTCAGCCTCCTGAGTAGAAAAAAAATTGTTTTAGCATGTAGACACTAAATTGTTAACAATGGTTGTCGCTGAAAGATGGAATTATCTTAGCTTTTTAATTTCTTTTAATACTTTACAGATACCTGCAGTATTTGAAGTTTTATAATAAGCATACATTCTATTGTAAATGGTAAAAATACACAAACTTAAATTTCTTCCTTTTAAAAAGTATAAATGCAGAATTGTGTAATCAGATTAGAATGACATATCATACATTAGTCTTCTCAATAAGAAAGAGAAAACACTTTTTCTAGTTGTTATATTCTAAAAATCATAAGCTGACAGCTTGGAAAGCTAAAAATCAATGCCTCTCAAACTTCAGGAAAATGTGAAACAACAAATGGCATGAAAATAAATTCTGTGTCGAGTCCAGCCTATGGGGTACAGACCGCTGGAAGGCATCTGGTTAAAAGTAAAAGATACAAGGATCTGTGTGTTATGCTTTTTTTTTTTGCCTGAACATATAATATGGCTTATCCATTCATATTAGACTAATTTCCAGATCTGTTTATCTGTGATTAATAGATATTCACTTTTAACTGGTGTGGACAAATTATCTTCTACATTAAGAAAATTGTTAATATCCTCAGATGCTTAGATAATAGAAGCAGTAAATCACTGTCTACAACTAAAGAACATATTTTACCCTTTAAATGTCAACTGTGTTATCTGAAAAAGCTTGCAAAGCACTCTTAGATCTACCTTCAGATAAGATATCAAAGAATATAAAACACTGCTCCTTTATACTTTTGGATTTTTTTGTCCATACTAGTTAGTTTTGTTTCCAGAAGCCTGGTAAGTACATACTGTATAAATAGCTGTTAGCTATGAAGTACATGATTTTTCGTTGGATAAATGCAAATTTCTAGTCGGTGTTACCTGTTGGACAGCTGCACTTGAAAGGTATGACTCATGACTTCTTCTTGGCCACTCCAGGTGAGCACTAAAAATTAGATGAAGAATTAATTATATTTTGCCAGTGACTCTCTTTGGATTAAGATGTGATAACCGATATTTTGCAGTCAAGGGTACTTGTGTTAATAATTAATAGAAGTTTTATCATTTCTAGCAAGTTACATTTTTCCACTGATGGCAATACCACTGGCCCAAGGTGAGGAAAACTTAACTACGAAAAAACATAATCCCCAAAGTCTGCTTGCAGGCTCCTTACCTGTTCTGTCTCATCGATAGCAGTTCTGCAAGGGCCATTTTATTAAGCAGAAATCTGCAAGCACTTGACATTTGTTCTGCTGAGAAATGCACTGAGACTGATTTCACCAGGTAAGGAATAATTTGATCACCTATTTTGGGCTAGAGTTTCTACAGCTGTTACAGAGGCAGAATTCTGTTTCCTTTTCTTTTCTTTTTTTTTTTCTTGAGATGGAGTCTTTCTCTGTGGCCCAGGCTGGAGTATAGTGGTTCCATCTTGGCTCACTGCAACCTCCCAGGTTCAAGCGATTCTCATGCCTCAGCCTCCTGAGTAGCTGGGACTAAAGGTATGTGCCACCACACCTGATTTTTTTTTTTCTTCTATTTTTAGTAAAGATGGGGTTTCACCATGTTGGCCAGGCTGGTCTCGGAACTCCTGACCTCATAATCCACCTGCCTCAGCCTCCCAAAGTGCTGGGATTACAGGCACAAACCACTGCGCCCAGCCCCAGGGTCCTGTTTTCTAAAAGCATCTTCTGGGTTACCCATTTCCTCTTACCACGTCAGGTATAAAAACAATTCAAAACTTCAAAGCTGTATACACAGAGGGAAATTTGTGTGTGTGTATTATATTTTTAAATTTTTTGTTTTGTTTTTTTCTTGTTTTTTTAAAATTTTTTTGAGATGAATTCTCATTCTGTTGCCAGGTCTGGAATCCAGTGTTGCAATCTCGGCTCACAGCAACCTCCGCCTCCTGGGTTCAGGCGATTCTCCTGCCTCAGCCTCTCGAGTAACTGGGACTACAGGCATCTGCCACCACACCTGGTTAATTTTCGTATTTTTAGTAGAGATGGGGTTTCTCCATGTGAGCCACACAGGTCTCAAACTCTTGACCTCAGGTGATCCACCCACACTGGCCTCCCAAAGTGGTAGGATTACAGGTGTGAACCACCACACCTAGCAGACTAGAAATTTAGATCATACTTTAATATTAGTATTATTATTAGAAATGTAGTCTCACTTTGTCATCTAGGGTAGAGTGCAGTGGCACAATCTCCGCTCACTTCAACCTCCGCCTTCTGGGTTCAAGCAGTTCTCCTACCTCAGCCCCCCAAGTAGCTGGGATTACAGGTGCCTGCCACCACATCTGGCTAATTTTTGCATTTTTAGTAGAGACAGGATTTCACCATGTTGGCCAAGCTGGTCTCGAACTCCTGACCTCAGGTGATCTGCCTGCCTTGGCATCCCAAAGTGCTAGGATTACAGGCATGAGCCACCATGCCCAACTGTACTTTAATATTTAATTGAAGTTGCCAGTAACATTTTGAAACCTTTCTAATATTCATCTGTTTCTCATCTGTGTAAAGACAGTAGGCAAAACAAAAATACCTGTGGCTATATAAGAATATCTTATGTTTAAGGTACAAGAATTCTAAACTACATTCACAATTAGGCCACTTAGTCATGTGTCAGCAATGAAGGACCCCATATGTATCCAGATGCCTCCCTTCCTCAAACTGATTATAAGCTCACAGAGTACAAGAACCATGTCTTCTTCTTTTTTGTGTCCTCTTCCACGTATTCTTTTTTTTTTTTTTTTTTTTTCCCAGATGGAGTCTCACTCTGTTACCCAGGCTGGAGTGCAAGGGGCCATCTCGGCTCATTGCAACCTCTGCCTCCCAGGTTCAAGCAATTCTCTTGCCCCAGCCTCTGAAGTAGCTGGGATTATAAGCATGCACCACCACACCCAGCTAATTTTGTATTTTTAGTAGAGACAGATTTTCATCACGTTGGCCAAGCTGGTCTCAAGTTCCTGACCTCAAGTGATCAACCTGCCTTGCTCGGCCTCCCAGAGTGCTGGGATCACAGGAGTGAGCCACCGCATCTGGCCCCTCTTGCACATATTCTTACCATGGTGTTGGGTACACAGAAGAAAATACAAAACCTCTCGCACAATTCATAATGATATTTGATAACAAAGGGGAAAACATACTTGCCACAGGTAGGTTGAAAAACAGAAAAGTTTTAAAAGTTTTTACATAAGTTAAAAAGCAAAACCAGGAATTGTTATATGAAAAATATAAATACATATGGACAAATTAAGGGATTTTTAAAATGTTTTATTTGGATAGGTAATATGTGGATTACTTTCCCTAAAAATTTGTTACATGAGGCCAGGCATGGTAGCTCACGCCTGTAATCCTAGCACTTTGGGAGGCCAAGTTGGACGGATAACCTGAGGTCAGGAATTCGAGACCAGCCTGACCAACATGGTGAAACCCTGTCTCTATTAAAAATACAAAAATTAGCTGGGCATGGTGGCACGTGCTTGGAATCCCAGCTACTTGGGAGGCTGAGGCAGGAGAATTGCTTGAACCCGGGAGGCAAAGGTTGCAGTGAGCTGAGATTGAGCCACTGCACTCCAGTCTGGGCGACAGAATGAGACTCCACCTCAAAAAAAAATGTTTTTTTCCTGTTACCCACATTATTAGCATATTCACAATACATAAAAGATTGGGGAGGAAATGTCTGATAACTGAAATACAGCATTTACAGAACTTGGAAAGATGAACAGGTAGGTACAAGAAACACAAAGGATACCAAAAAAATCTGAAAATTATGAGTATTGCTTTTAAAACAAACAAACAAAAAACATGGAGTTTCACTCTCATTGCCCAGGCTGGAGCGCAACGGTGTGATCTTGGCTCACTGCAGCCTCTGACTCCTGGGCTCAAGCAATTCTCCTGCCTCAGCCTCCCGAATAGCTGGGATTACAGGCATGTGCCACCACACGTGGCTAATTTTCTTTGTATTTTTAGTAGAGATGGGGTCTCACCATGTTGGCCCAGCAGGTCTCGAACTCCTGACCTCAGGTGAAGCTTCCCAAAGTGCTGGGATTACAGGTGTGAGCCACTACGCCCAGCCTGTCACTTTGCATGTGTATTTACTAGGGCCACTGCAAGCTATACATACACAGACACACACACATAAATATATAGGAAGTGGAAAGGAAATGTCTGCTAACTGAAAAAGTGAGCCTGTGCAACAGAGTAAGACCCTGTCTCCCAAAAAAAAAAGAGAAAAGAAAAGAAAGTGGCAGCAGTGAGTTCTGACTTCTTTTTTGTTGTTGTTGTTTTGTTTAGAGACAGAGTTTCACTCTTGTTACCCAGGCTGGAGGGCAAAGGCACGATCTCGGCTCACCACAACCTCCGCCTCCTGGGTTCAAGCAATTCTCCTGACTCAGCCTCCCAAGTAGCTGGGACTACAGGTGCCCGCCACCATGCCCAGCTAATTTTTGTATTTTTAGTAGAGACGGTGTTTCACCATGTTGATCAGGATGGTCTTGATCTCTTGACCTCGTGATCCACCCGCCTTGGCCTCCCAAAGTGCTGGGATTATAGACGTGAGCCACCGCGCACGGCTGAGTTCTGACTTCTAAGAGCCATAGAAAAGAATGTTCAGAGAAAGGCAGAAAGTTTCACTATAATCAAATTTGCTTGTGACAGTCATTAGAATTTATTTAATCCTCAAACCTTTTTTTGCTTTTATTATTATTTATTTTTTGAGGCAAGTGTCTCACTCTGTCACCAAGGCTGGAGTACAGTGGCACAATCATAACTCACTGCACCCTCCAACTCCTGTGCTCAAGCAGTCTTCCTGCCTCAGCCTTCCCAATAGCTGGGCTGCAAGCATGCACCACCACAACTGGCTAATTTTCTTTTTAACTTTTTTGTAGAGATGGGGGTCTTGCTGTGTTGCCCAGGCTGATCTCAAACTCCTGACCTCAAGCAGTACTCCCACCTTGGCCTCCCAGAGTGCTAGGATTACAGATATGTGCCACCGAACCTGGCCTATTATTACTATTTTATGTATTTATTTATTGAGATAGGGTCTGGCTCTATTGCCCAGGCTGGAATACAGTGGTGGAATCAGAGCTCTTTGTAACCCTGAACTTCTGGGCTCAATCGATCCTCTTGCCTCAGCCTCCCCCATAGCTGGGACTACTGGTCTGCACCACCATGCCTGGCTAATTTTTTTTGTTTTGTAGAGATGGGTCTTGTCATTGCTCAGGCTGTTCTCAAACTTTTGGCCTCAAGCATCCTCCTGTCTTGGCATTCAAAAATGCTGGAATTATAGGCGTAAGCCACTGTAATTAAAATTAAAAGACTGCACCTGTCTTTTAATTTTTAATTGACACATAGTAATTGTACATATTTCTGGGGCACAGTGTGATAGTTTGATACATGTGTACATTGACATATTATGCCCATGATCAGGGCAATTAGCATATCTATTACCTCAAACATTTATCATTTCCTTGTGTTGGGAGCATTCAAAATTCACTCTTCTAGTTATTTGAAAATATACAGTAGATTGTTAATTACAGTGAACCTATAGTGTGATAAAACATTAGGATTGAATTTTCAATTAATTTTGATGAACTTAGTTATTTCATTTTGTTTACTCCCAGCCTTTCAAATTTCCTAAATGTATATCCATCTTAGTTTAAGTTGCCATTTCAATATTATATCTAATCAGTCTTCATCACTAGTTCTACTCCTCAAGAACAGTAATCTGGCTGGGCACAGTGGCTCACGTCTGTAATCTCAGCACTTTGGGAGGCCGAGATGGGTGGATCACCTGAGGTCAGGAGTTCTAGACCAGCCTGGCCAACACAGTGAAGCTCTGTCTCTACTAAAACGACAAAAAAAAAAAAAAAAAAAAAAAAAAAAAATTAGCTGGGTATGGTGGTGCATGCCTGTAATCCCATCTACTTGGGAGGGTGAGGCAGGA